GCAATTTTAAATGCTACGAAATATGGAATTTTACTTCATCTGTTCTTTCTCTCATTTGTATATATATATATATATATATATATATATATATATATATATATATATATATATATGTATATATATATATATATATAATGCCTTGCATGTTTGTTTTTTCAAAGCGGTTGCATTTAGCACTTTATTATACGTCCGTTTTTGGTACGGTAGTTATTCCGGCCTGTAATATATTTTGTTATATATATATATATATATATATATATATATATATATATATAAATGAAAGTACAATAATGCAATAAAATGCAATATTTACATAATCTATTACATGGAATATGGCACAACTCTTGTTCAATGAGTTATTTTTTGTTCTTTGGCTGAAATCAAATAGGGATCATACTTAAGGTATCTCTATCACAGTGTCAGGGCCACATATTATTTTGAATTTAAATCTCCTTCTCCTATACTGATTACCATCCACGGCTAAAAATCCCAGTCTGCTCCGCATAGAAAGAGATTGATTTAGAGATTTCCTAAGGTTATCTGCGGAAGTGAATGTAACAAACTCGACTGGAATTTAAATTGGCTCTCTGATTTCTTATTGCAATCGTTCGCAAATCCCACAGAAATTTATAAAATGTCTGTATATATGATACTTTGGTTGGAAATAAATAAATTAGATTCGATAATATTGTAAAAAATATTAACAATTAAATAGTGTTCATATTTTTGCTGTCAATTCTCGAGAAAAATGTGTAAATTCATTTTTTGAATCATTTCACCCCAAGCAAGTCAATAAAGCCACTAAGACGCAATGGGCTACTGAAAATATGAGAAAAAAAAAACATTCTTAAGTTAAGAGAACAATAAAAGAACAGGAATTAAGAATTCAGATGATTATGATTGATATTGCCTTTTAAAATCTTTGAAGATCAAGGAAAGATCTGGAAATCCAGATGCCAGAAGAGAGTTCCACAAGGAGAGAAGAAACTGGTAGCATAGAACTTACGGTTACGCTTAGCAATTTCAAGTTTAAAATGAGTGGACCTCACTTCCAATTTAGTACTGGGCTTAAGTTGTAAATATGAGATACGAAAATGGAAAGCTAATTTGAACAATTATCATTGAAATGTTCATAGAAAAGGCACAGGAAAGGTACATTATGGCAGTGGGAAAGTGATTGAAGCCGAGATGTCAGGACAGGATAAGAACAATGACATCGGATGTTCTTAGGATTTTATCAAGGATCACTAAATATATAGCAGGCTCAGACATGACTGGAAAGCAAGAAGCTGCAAGAGAGTTCCACAAGCGAGAAGTGCGAGAGAAGAAGCTGTTAGCATAGAACTTACGGTTACAACTAGCTATTTCAAGTGTAAAATTTAGCAGTTTCATATGTTATGGTTTTATTAAAATTCTAAAAATAGCTTTTTCAAACAATAAAATTTGCCGGGGGAGAATACAGTAATACTGGTGTTGAGAGAAATATGCTCCTTTTGACCATATTTATCCATATTTGCTCCTTTTGAGAATTTTATCCATATTTACCAAAATCTGTAGCTCGGTTAAAATACTATACAAGTGAATACGTTATCTTTTAAAAATACCATGTTTTTCAACATGTTTCGTTTATTATCTGTGAATTGCCATGACTTCATGGGAACGAGAATAGTTACACACAACATGGTTTCGAATTCAGAGTAACACCCTTAACCTGCCTGCCATTCAAGGTTCAAGAGCCAAATCTATTTTGCTTTTTATCTAGGGAGAGATAAGATGGATTCATGACTTTACCCAAGGGCATTTGTAAAAAAAGTGAACGCATCAGACTGGACTGAAATTTGAACTCGATTCAGTGATATCTTTTTCCATATTGATAACCATTACGCCATACGCACCAATGCCAATAAAGTAAAAAGAATATTTCTCCAAAATCCATGCAACAATTTCAGAGATGTATAAATCTGAAAGATATTTTATTTAGCTTAGTGTTGTGGTAGGATCCACCTAATTTGATATAGTGGAGTACCGACCATATAAATATGGTTGGTACCGGGAAGAGAGGGAGGAATCAAGAGATTCAACCAGAGACTCTGCCCGACTGCGACTCAGTCAACACATTCTCCAGGAACGGTCTTACCAGGAATATACAAAAGACTATATGTAAATATTGTGTACATTTTCTTGTTTCAATACATTTTGTTCTAAGTACATTTTGTGTTGCATTATTATTCCATGCATTAGTCAAGTTTCAACACTTAGTTACATCGAACACAGGGCTAAAAATGTTGTATGCCCCATAGTGATGGAAGCTGTTCCACAAGAGTGATGGTATCTGCTAGGGTGGGTTCAGTAACTATTAGCTCAGGGCAAGACGTTCATAAAGATATGTGCTAAGCATAGCTCAGTCTAGCATCGAACCACAAGTGTGGCACGACTCAGGAAAATCCAAATCTAAAATAGTTTCTCAAGCTTTTTTATTTTAATTTAGGACGCACGTGTAGAATAATTAGGGACGTAAATTAAATATTTAATAAAGAAAAATAACTCATGAAATTTGCAAATATGAAATTTTGGTTTAGCATTCCCAAAAAGGATTAACGGTACAGGGTTCATTTTAACGAAGAACCTGCTATTTTATTTTATTTTTGAGAGGCCGATAATGATTACCGTATATACTCGATAATAAGTTGCACTTTTTTTCACCAAAATTTTAATAAAAAATCAGGAGTGAGACCTGTACGCTTGACATCATAGAAAATCTGAAGTAGACAGTATCGTATCAGTAGTCCAAGCAAGTACCCTGAACTTGAGCATAAGCGAGAGCAAGAGAGAAAATGATTTCTTTCGAGATTTCGGTTTTAAGCAATCACCTCTTCCAACAGTACCGCGTAGAACATCGAATAATAAATATTTGATCTGCAACGCTCATACTCACCATATTATTATTTGATTTACGACGAAAGACTGTCCCTATTACAGGCGCTTGCTCAGACGCATTTGTGTTTATTCAACATCCAAAGAGCCCACCTGTGGTTTATACTGCAACTATGCTGAGAAGACCTTAGTTACAATTTCTGGGAAAGAGCGTGTTATCTAGCTTGATCAACAATTTGAACAAGGCCAGCACACTCAAGCCCTCGGTCACGATGACTTGAGATTTTGTGCTAGCACAACTATCGACGGCCCCCAAGGGTACCGTCTACCCAATTTCACCCTCAAGGCTTGGGTCAACCCGTGGTATGGTTTTCAGGCACTTTCCAAAGATACCGCACGCTAGGATCGACTCTTCCAGTCCGATAACATCAGACAAATCGACTATCATGAGATTTGAACCCGGGTATCACGGTCAGGAAGCGAACGTTGCTCAGTGATTTTAGGACTGAAGCGATTACCGGTATTAAAATTTTCGTCTAAACAGAGCAGACCCACACTCGATAAGTAAATACCATGCAATATATGCTGATGTTTTAATATATATATATATATATATATATGAAGAAATATAGTTTTAAGGTGTGCTATATTTATGGGATAAAGTGCTCAATATCAGAGATAGAGCGTGTGTAAATATAAAAGTGAACATAGAAGTCAACACTTAGAGGCGACAGTCTGTTTCATGTTAGATGCAATCGTCAGGTGGCCTGACGATTGCATGAAGCAGACTGTCGCCTCTAAGTGTTGACTTCTGTTCACTTTTTATATATATATATATATATACATACATATATATATATATATATATATATATATATATATATATATATATATATATATATATATATTCTTATGTTTAAAAATATATATGCCAAATTTTGAAATGAAGGTTGATATTTGAAAACATTTAGCAAATATTAGTTGGTTATTAGGACATGTAACGCCCCAGATTATGGTGCGTCCTATCTGCGAGTCAACCGCAAATATCCACGTTAACCGGCGCCACCTATACACGAGTATATACGGTAATAAAATAATTAAATACCACGAGGAAGGAAAAAGGGAAAAGATAATGGCCTTCTTTTTAAGATTAAGTAATTTAGCATCCACGTTAAAATCTCTAATGAGATAGACATGGAATCAAACCAAATGCTTGATGTTTCTAGCTTTTTAAAAATCAAGATTTTTTAAAAATATATATCCAGGCAAGAATAGAGTACATTTCCAACGTTCATACATTTAATTTAAAAGAGGGTTCAATACAGAGTAGAGCAATATTATTTATTTTAGGATATTAAAACATGTAAAAATTGCTGCACAATTGCAATCGTGTTTCGACGCATACCAATGCGTCTCCTCAGGCGATTGTAAATTACTGGCGAGTGAACGAATTCGTAAATTTATCTTCTGTTAACCTTTCAGGGTCATTAGAGCACGATGGTGCTTGGCTTAAGAAAGGTTGCTCTAGAACTCAGTCTCGAGTGATAATTTTATATCTTTTTCACAGTGCTTGTTATATAAAAAAAATGGTCTTGAAATATATTATGTTTTCTCAGAATATGAATAATGAAATAGTTTTGCAGGCATAGAAAAATTAAAGTTTTAACCATTAAAAAAAAAATCAATCTTTACTTTTCCGATTTCATTTTACTTTCTTCTTCTATGTACTGTCCCTTGAGAACTTGAGCAAATACTGCTCTCCACGAATTCTTGACTTTCTAGCACTTAATAAATTTTGTGTTTTTGTTATTTCCCCTAAACCCTGTTCCCCCCTCAAGCTCAATAAGTATGTTAACCACTGCTTTCCTCTATCTGTTTTGCCTTCAAACTGGCCTGTGAGTATCAAATTTTCTAAGCCCTCTTTCCTCATTATGCGCTCTTGATATTTCAACTCTGTTTCTGTTGTTAAGAATAAGTGTCCTTTTTGCTTCCATTTTCTCTAAAGCTTTGTCGTTGCTCACATGTTCGATCCATGGTATCCTCAGTATCTTCATGTAGAATCACATTTCTGTGGAAAAAAGTACATAAACTTTAGTTTTAGTTTCTTTCGGCTACCATATTGTATTTTAGACGAACTTATGTGCTGTTAGGAAAACGCCGATCCATAAGGCGTTAACATATCCATGTGGATAAATTCGACCAGCTGTGTTTTCAGGGGACTGAGAAGTTGGAGTGCTAGAAGGTGTCGTTGGTGTGGTAGAAGTAAGATTGGAAGTGCTAGAAGGAGCAGTTGATGTGGGAGGAGCAACAGTTGATGTTCCGTTGTATAATGGGCAATATTTAAGTAGGTTATAAAGAGCGTTCCCTGGACATTTAGTTTCGCCTAGGTCTCGATGCCCTCTCAATTGAATTGTGTCATTTGTTTTCAAACAACATATCATTTGACGCAATGCCGTGAGAGCGTGAATGTTTGGTAGTTTGTCCGTGTAATTTCCAATCATACATATTCCTGCAAAAAAAGGGAAAAGAAAAAAAATGATATAAACAAAGAGCAAAATAATAATATAAAATGTAAAATTGAAAGAAAGAAAAATGAGCGAAAAAGATGAAAAATAATTAATTCTTTCCAAGCAGACTGGCTAGACCCTACTGTCTGAAGCATATGCATTTGTTTACTCTGTCATAATGTAGCTTCCCTGTGCTTTTTCTATAAATATTTTCTGATGTTCTGATGAGCTTTCGTCTTTGATATCTAGACTTTAGGAAGTTAAATCTAGTACTAGATTTGCAACAAGGTACCATCATTTTACAGTTGAAATGTCAACATATAGCTCTAAGTTATTTGCTAAAACTTAATTTATCACCCGTGGAACACTCTTCCGGCTTTTTATTTTCCAGCCAACTTTGATCTTTAAAAAATTTAAATGCAATGGCAATCGTTATCTACTGTCTTCTTGAGGCATCTTCTTTTAAAGCTTTTTCTCGTTTTTTTTGTTTTTGTTTTTTTTATTTCACACTCAGTAACCGCTTGTGTCTTAGTGGCTTTATTACCTTGTTTGGGGTGAAACGATTAAAAAGAAAACAAAAAATCTAATAATATCAACTGGACGTATGGGAGTATATTCTATTATGTCAATGTGCAGACCATGACAGCCTCTATGTAGCAGCGGCGTTCATCAAAATTTAGTATTTATTTTGTGATTTGCTATCGATAACTGATCAAATATCGATGCTGTGACAAGCCGGCATAGTTGTTAGGAAAAGTGAATAGTCCAAAATGAAAATTACAAATCGGGCATTCCAATATCAAACAAGAACAAAAAATGAAATATCTGGTGTTTTAACAGGGGACGGAAAGTGTGACACTGAAATCCAAAGGCGCATTGGGATAGCGAAAGATGCCTTTCAAAAGCTAAGTAAAGTATTAAGAAGCAGGAAGGTTACGTTATATCAGTCCTCATATATGGCAATGAATGACAATCTCCTCAAAGATTAGGATGAGACTTGAAGCAACAGAAATGTAGTTCTACAGAAGGATGCTGAGAATACCAGGGATAGAACATGTGAGCAAAGACAAGGTTTTAGAGAAAATGGAAACAAAAAGGACACATACTTAAATTGAGGAAGAAACAGTTGAAATTTTTCGGGCAGATGATTAAGAAAGAATAATAGAAAATCTGATACTCACAGAACAGATTGAACACAAGGTGGGGCAGGGGGAAACAATGCATAACATACTTAGTGAACTTGAGTAAATGGATGGTGGAAGAGGGTTTAGGAGAAATAACAAAAATACAAGATTTATTAAGACCTACTAATGATAGGAAGTTGGGGAGATCCATGATCACCTATTCTTGAAAGGGACAAGGCACATAAAGAAATATACAAGCTGGTGTTGACTTACGAATACCCATAATGCCTTGCAGGCCATTCTTAATTCCAGAGCCTAATCTGAATGAAAATGAATACATTTACTTTTGAAAACTGATTTCGACAACACTAGCAAGAGGCTAGAACTCGTTGTACGTTCACAGGGTAAGGAAGATGAAATCAACACCATAGCAGGAAATGAAAACACGAATCCGGTTTTCTATAATTTGGTGTTTATTTCACTGGGGTTCTAAGTCAGTATTATCTTTTGTTGAAGGTAGGTGACATAATTTCCTTTTGCTTCTTATTTCTGGTTAGCGACAAACGTAGCTGGTTGCACTGAGAGCTCCTCTCTCTCTCTCTCTCTCTCTCTCTCTCTCTCTCTTTCTTTCTCACGATTACTAGGGTGTAACTTATATAAGGCTGTAGATGGAATCCTTTGGCTTCCGACAAAGTGACACTTGATCCCGCGTTTTCATTTATTTGCTTATTATTTTTCTTCCCTTCCATCAAGTGGGTTGCCGCTTTGAACATCAGGCAGAAAAGACTATCTTTTGGTCATAAAGAACATCCTAAACTTCTGACTCCGATAACATGCGTTAAGATCTACTTGTGTGTTCAGTCGATTATTGCAGAGGGACCTATAGTGTCAGAAAATAGATATGAAAGAACTGTGTTGTGCTAGACAATTCTTCTCGCTATAATCGATCCGTGGATTGAATATTCCAGCTATATCTGGCTCGGTGCTCCTACTATATATCTAGAGATCCTTAAGAAAATTCAAAGAAGGGTCAACAATGTAATAGATCCTAACCTGGCGTCTCGACTTCAGTTACTTTCCCACCATCATTCTCTCATTTTTTTCATAGATATTTTTCTAATGAGCTCCCTCCTTAGTATCTCAAACTCATGCATTTAAACATACTGTGTACTAGTCTCTTGTTTCCCTGCCACTTCAGTCAGTTATGTACCATGCGTGGGACCTGACTGACGAGGCAGATTTTTTTCCCGCAATAGGTTGCCATATCTTTCTGTGGTTGCCTCGTCTGTGCTATTTACCCACAGCTGGAGGTGGGGGAAGAAGAAGAGGATTTATACCTTTCCCAAGGGTATTAGCACGTAAGAGAATGTAATGGATTCGACTAAAATTCGAACTCGGCTCTCTGATTCCTCAATCCGAGCGGCTTATCCATTACTCCGCCTTGCCACTTACGATCTTCAAAGTGCAATATTAAGTGCAATATCAATCGCCATCTTCTGTCTTCTTGAAACTTGTTCTTTTATTTTAATTTATCATGACTAAAACTTTCAAACTTCTGACTTGTTTCATGATTTGAAGAATTGCTTCGGCTGAAATGATTAAAAAAGAAAATACTGTTTTACATCAGGCCTTGTGCTTGACATAAACAATACGGACGAAAGGTAGATTTATAAATGTGCAAGACTGATTATAGCGAAAAGAATTGTCTAGCACGACACAAACAAGTTCTTTCATGTCTTTCTTAAACCGTACACCCTGGTGCATATTTTATTCTGCCAGGTTAGGATCTCTCATTGTCCAACCAGCTACTTTGGTCGCTAGCCAGAAATAAGAAGCAAAGAAAGAAAACACCGTATAACGCAACCGGATATCACTGATAATTTCTATCAATTTTTTTAAAATAACTAAAACTAGTTAACAATGTACTACTATTTACTTACCAAACTACTTAGCTACTAAATCTTATGTACTTGTGAGCTAATCCTTTTGAATTGTCTTGTCAACTGGTGATATTTAACTTTTTATTAAAAAATATGCCCATTCCTTGAAACAAAAGCCACCTTACTTTTTTTTTTATTATTTGTGATTAATAATATTGACTTTGAATAATGTCACATCAATTCAATACATCGTTTCACAGGTTTAAATGCCTGAAAGCTAATAGTGTACAATTAACCAATTTCGGTCTTTAATGCCTATCTCTGAGTTACCAAAAGACGGAATGGGACGATTATTCATTTTGCAGAATAATTCTTCTATAACATCTTTATTACAATCTTCGCTTTTATTAATTACTAGCAGCATGGCCTGGCGTTGCCCGTGCTTGATTCAAAAATCGTACGACTCATACAGCTATCGCTATCACTTGACTTAAAATATTTTTACCTTTCCTTGCCTTTAAAGGAGTGCACTTTGCCGTGCTGATGTTGCTACATGCCTTATTTCTTGCCTATATCACACTGCGAATTTTTTCTAAGCTCTATACTAAACATTAAATCTGTTACGAAAAAAGAACTACACAAAATGAACACAAAACGATCAGCTTTAAAAAAGAACTCGTAACTGGAAAAACCGAATGAAAAAAGAATGTTAACAACAAATACTTTTTCACACCCAACCCAGTTCTGCGGAATCAGAATCAACGTTGAGTTTAAGCAAGCGAATGAGCCAATTGGAGTAAAGTGCCATGCAGATTTAAATTTTTTCCACTTGTGACGAATGCAGCTATCGATTTTTTTTGCATGCTAGCATGCTAGTTAACATTTGTGTCAGTCAGCTGTTGGCTCTCACGCTGGCCAATAGAATATTCCTGCCTATTCGTGGCAGCCAGCTATAGGCTCTCATTCTGGCCAATAGAAAATGGCCGCAAACTACATGAAAACTTGGCCTTCCCGCTACCTTGGTGCATGTGCATGTAAATTTTGGTGCAAATCCGTCGAAAATTGCGGTCGTGCATTCGTTACACACACACACACACACACACACACACATCCTGCCTTTTTATAGATAGAGATTTAGGAAATTCCTTCCCATTCCTTAATTTAATCTTCGAATATTCTAAGAGAAACCATTTTAGCATAGAAAATTATTAAAGAATTATAAAAAAAAAATACATAAAAATTTCCATTCGCTATTTTTATTCCAACCACCATCTATTTGAAACTCAACCGTAGGTAGTCAAGAATCCTTCGCCTCAAGGATTGTAACTTATCTGGTAGCTTCAACTGGACGGGTCTGGACGATTATTCTTTGTCGGAGATGAATCCACCCGAGACATCCTTATTGCAGCCCCTCATTTTTTATTAAATACTCAGGAAATTTCCTCCTACTTTTGCATATTACACCTTAATTTATACTGCAAGAATTCTTAGACAAAGCGTTTCGTAATTGTTACAATTGAGATGAGGTAGTTTTCTCAACTTTATTTCCACGTAGTCAATGTTTACTGTTTTCTAGCCTTTTATCTATCCTAGCTGTTATTCTGGTGCTTATAACAATATAATATTTATCTATAACCATATAATATTTATTTATAACCATATAATATTTAAGGCCGTTTTCAAAAGCGACTCAGTTGCTTTCTTTAGATTTCTGTTGGATTTCTCTTATATGCGCCATATCCCTTCAAAACGTTGCCGATCTTGGATCTCCAAATTTCCTTATCCTTTGTAAATTAGTAAATTTTGTATATTTGATATCTCTCGTGTTCTGCCAACCATTTACACAAGCTTGCTAGGTAGGTTATGCACATCTTTCCTCTGTCCCGCTTGGCTTCAATATATCATGTGAGTATCAAATTTTCAAATTTAAATTTATTGGTAATTTTCTTACATTTCCTCAACAAGCATCTTCGTAATTAAGAAATTAATAAAACCAAATACCTAAAGTTCAAGAAAATATTAGATTACTTAGAATATTTTCCTAAATTTTAAAGGAGTTAAAGAATTATATAAAAAAAGCTGTTCACGTTATGTTCGTCAAGTAATTTATATAGTCATGGGCCCTTCACTTAAAAATGCCAAACATTAAGTTATTGATAAATATCTCAACACCCCATGAAAACATTCACATCTCTTTTCCTGTGATATTTTATTGTAAAAGTAAATCATATTTGTTTCAATTTACATTAATTAAACATTGAAGTTAGTCTTCCGCAAATAAAGTTTCAGAAAAGTATATTTTATTTTTGAAAGAGTTTGTAATAAAGAAAAATATGTTGTGTTGATACATTTGTCAATATGGCCGATTTTATCGATTTAAAAAAATTCTATTAATTTAAATTCAGATTGAACTACAGCAAAGTATTTTGTTTATTTTCAATGTTATTAAATTATTAAATTAAACTAAATTAAAAGCTTCAAGTATTTTTTTTCATTTTGAAAATGTATTTTAAACCTTAGGTATCGCTTTTTTGGAGGTACCTACTTTATGTCAATATCTCTCTTTCCATTGAATTGTTTTCTGAAATATTCATACAATTATTTTTCTTCATATTCCAGATTTCTGCTCATTCCTGTTCGTTTTAGGGCAGCTAGTTGTCTCTTGTTATAAGTCGTCCGCCCTAACTTTATCCCATGTCTTTGAGTCCATTAATAGCGAATTTAGATGTTTTCAAAATTATTTTCCCTAATCTTAAAACCCCTCTTATTTGAAACAGCAAGATTGCAAAGACACTAATTAGGCAGATTTTAATAACAATTGTTCAGAAAAGGTATTTGAAATGTCGGCAATGTTTTTTCTTTCGCAATCGGCATAAACGTCTTTCGTCTCAAAGACAAGAAATTCACCGAAATTATTGAAAAGGATTATCTCATTCTGTGGGATTTTAACTTTAAAATTAGAAAAGTTTTACAAGATAAAGATTTATATATAAAAAAAAGTGATTAGTTAGTCATATAATTAATTTTAAAAGTGTAAGTTTGTCTTATACACTTAGTGTTATAGTGGAACACACCTATTCTATTGTTAATAGACTCTCCCACCTATAATAAGTAGGAGTCGATCAGGGGTTCGGTCAGTCAGTCGACTGGCTGATCGGTTGAAGGAGTCTACGCCAAAGGGCGGATTCTCTTTCGGGGAGGTAAACCGACCCTGAACCCGTTTATACGGGTTCAATGGGCATATTTTTGGCCGAGCCCACGGGCTCGGAGATCCCACGGGCTCTGAGATCTCACGTTAAACCAGCTTTGTTCCACGTGACGCCCTCGTGGTGGGGGTGATTGAATATCTTCGGTCAGTCAGTCGAATAGCTGATCGGTTGAACTCTCTGCCTTCGGGCGGGGAGGAACCCGAAGAAGGCTACGCCGAAGGGCGGAGTGTCTTTCGGGGAGGTAAACCGACCCTGAACCCGTTTATACGGGTTCAATGGGCATATTTTTGGGCCGAGCACACAGGCTCGGAAACCTCACGTTAAAAACGACCTTGTGCCACATGACGCCCCAGTTGACTGAATATCTTCGGTCAGTCAGTCGATGCCAGACGACCGTTAGTCGGATACTAAAGTATCAGCGACCACAACTAGATTTCTCTGCGTAATTACCTATTATATCAAGTTCCTAACGTTTTGTACGTCGAACCTATTTAAGGACCGACTTAGTACAAATACAAGCCTCCACTGTGAAACCACTCGACAACACTTAGTTTTAGAAGTGTACGATAAGAAAGCCAGACAGTTTTTAAATATTTTACCTTTTTTGTAAATCTTTCTTTGTTTAGAATTGGTTTAAAATAGGAGCATCAGAATGACTGTCAAGGAAGACTGTTGGTGATTAAGTTTTTCAATTTTAAACAAATATATCCCTTGTATTTTTGGTCCAGTCAAGTTCCACCCACTTATTTTTTGTTAAATCAAATTCCACCCACATATGACTCAGTGGATGAACTGCAAATGTCAGATGCAAAGGAATCTAGCTTTCTGTAGAGAGGCAGGGGTTTTCAAGTGTAGAAGGGTTTGTAGTATTTACATGTAAAATTCACTAGCCACTAAGGACAGCTAAAGGCTAAGAGGTTTTCGCATTCTCAAGCACAACATTTTCTACAACAACGAATAGGAAAAACAAAGAAAACTTTAAAGCCAACTACACCAACACTGGCGATGAAAGGCAAGCTGGAAAATGTCAGAAAGAAGACATTTCAAAATTATCGGCCCCAGTGACACACGTGGATTGGCAAAGCTGTTGAACTAGTTTTTTTTTCTAGTTAGGTTTGTGCACATTTTTCTGGAGTATTTCTTCCTTTTCTTTTTGTTTTACAGTTTTCATATCACCTTCTTTCATGATTTAAAGAAATGTATTGGAAATCATCTTTAGAATTAATAATTTCTATGTGTTCTGTTATCTTTCCTTGTTCACAGGTCTAAAAGAAGTGAACTCTGAATTCATAACCGGTCTGGAGAGGGTTTGGGTCCCGTTAGGCTATATTGCTCAAGAAACACCACTTCTACTGCGGCTGTAGTAGCTGTAGTGCCCCTACGGTCCTGATCGAGCACGGGATTCGCGCGCACGATCGTAGGTATCAAAAAGTAGATGAAATTGGCATAAAAAATGGCGTCTTTAAAAAAAATGTCGTCTTGTTATTATATGCACCTTTTTAATATTCGGGATAAGACGGTTTCTGTACTGATAACACAACTATTTACTCCTGTCTTAATACTGAGTCTGATTAGTCCGATAAGCTCAACTATGGCTTGTTAATTTTAACGGCCCCAAAACGTAACTGCTCTCTATCAATCATCTGACACACCCCATTTTGCCTTTTTTTAGCATGGTTGATGCCAACCTCCAAGAGAGTCATGGCTGTCAGAGAATTTCTGCGACCACATCACTCATATCTGGCCACCTTACTCCTTAGACTACAACCCCCTTGAGTATTATTTGTGGGGAGCAGTTGAGCAAGTAACCAAGAAAACATCTTGTAACACCAAAGATGAACTGAAGGCAAGGGTTATAGCAGCATTCACCAACAAGGAGACCGTCTAGAAGAGTTGCAGGAGATTCCGAAGTCGTCTGGAGGCTATGGTTGAAGCTAATGACGATTTTATTGAATAAATTTACTCTTTATTATTTCAAGATATTTTTGTGTAATTTTGCTAAATATATCTGTAAAAATGAGGTGTCAGTGGTATTTTCATTTTTGTGTAATTTAGACGACGATTTATCCATCGTACCATGTATGTCTAGTTAGCATCTTTCCCCAAATATTCAAAAATAACTTTTGAAACAGAAAGTAAGAGAAAGAAACGTGTAATGATTAAAACATCCAGTTCATTTCTATTTTTAATATCGTAAACCAATAAACATCTTAGTAAAATATATGTACGATATTGAGGTCTTAATAGATCATAAGGTACTATTTCTCGCTTGTGGAACTCACTTCCGGCTCCATTATTTCCAACCAACTTTGATCTTCAATAATTTCAATCGTCATCTAAGGTCTTCTCGATTACTCTTCTATTATTTACACTATTTAAATTGTTCATGTTGTCCTCATCTTTATTGTCATATTCACATCATTTCGGCTGTTGTAGGCTACCGCCTTCTTCAGGTGATATACATTGGAATTTCGAACCGAAACCTTTATCTAGTTCCACGTGCCATGCCTTTTTTGAATATCTCAGTTTTCAGTTAATTCCCTTTGGTATCTCAACTCTCCAAGTTTTTGTTCCCCTCTGCTGTGGTCAGGTATTGAACTCACAACTGTTTGGGTCAAGTCACTTTTGGATTATTTCAACTAACGGACAAAAAAATTACACAGAGATGGCTGTATTACAGGGTTGTATTACACTCAATTCGTATTACACACAACAAAATATGGTAGTCCTCTTTTTACTAATACTACAAAAAATTACGATTAGATAATATTAAATTATTCATACTAAATACTACATTATTATTATTGAAAATGAAAATGAGGAAAAATGTGAATGGAATATTTAACTTCCAGCTTTGGTGATATGAAAATGAGAACCCACAATAAAAAATATTTATAAGAAATATGAAATATGAGAAAATATGAAATATAAGAAAACATGAAATATAAGAAAATATGAAATATGAGAAAACACTTCAATTTGTAAATGTTAAGATTTTGACTACTGCTCAACTGAAATACAAAAGCAGCATCTGAAAACGTGGAAAAAATGTTCAAAGCAAGAGAACTCTTTGCTTACCCATTGTTATGTCATTTTTATATTTCACATGTGCTCCTTGAAATCTAAACCCACGGCCAATGTAAATTAGACCATTGCCACCAATTAAAAAGTTATAACCGATGTCGTCCCAACCTGAATAAGAAAAAGAATAATTATGAACAGTATGTTGCAGAAAATTAATATATAAGAAATAAATAAGACAGAATGAATGGTTCTGTTTGATCGAAAATTAATTGAGACTTCGTATATGAGTGTTACATTAAATCGACATACGGAATTAAGCCACTAACAGGACAGGCTTTAGGCCAATTTGACCGATTTCACCCAACTGACTATGCGCTTAGGGGAGAGGTATGCTGGTAGAAATATTGCACATATTACACAGCGTGTGTTAAATATGTAGAAACGGTTACTTATTTCATAAAATATTTAAGAAGTGTTTTAAAATACTGCATTTTATTGCACATTTTGATTTGACATCATATTTAAAATAGAATTGCCAATTATTATTATAAAATTAATAATAATACACAAACTTGATTTTATTTAAATATGAAAAATTAAAAAAATTCATCAAGAGGCTATAGCCTTAAAATATACTGAGAGATTTTGACAATATTACCCAGTTTTATTTTAAAATTGATAATAAATCAGAATATGTAACAAAAGTATGATGCACTATTTAAAAAATACAACTTATTAATGTCACAACTTTATGAAACATGATGTATATTTGAAATTATTTTCAAAATACAGATAGCAAAGAGTATTTTCTATTAATTTTTTTCAATAACTCTGTCCATTTTGACAATATCAGGCGTTTTTTGTCATGTTGACAATATCAGATGTATTTTGCCATTTTGACAATATTAAGCATATTTTGCTATTTTGAGAATATCAGACGTATTTTGACATTTTAACAATATCAAGCGTATTTTGCCATTTTGACATTATCAGGCCTGTTTTGACATTTTGACAATATCAGACGTATTTTGACATTTTAACAATATCAAGCGTATTTTGCCATTTTGACATTATCAGGCCTGTTTTGACATTTTGACAATATCATACGTATTTTGTCATGTTGACAATATCAGAGGTATTTTGCCATTTTGACAATATCAGGCGTTTTTTGTCATGTTGACAATATCAGACGTATTTTGCCATTTTGACACTATCAGGCGTATTTTGCCATTTTGACAATATCGGACGTATTTTGACATTTTGATATTATCAGACGTATTTTACATTTTCACTTTAAATATATTTGTATTTATTATTTATATTTAATTTTAATTTGTCCAATAGGACCCTGAGATTAATGAGCTTCAAATATGAGTAAAAGACCAAGAGATATAGACAGTGACATTAAGAAGAAATCATTAGCAACGGCTAAAATCTGAAAGAAAAAGTTGTCTTGGATTTCTTTACTGAAATATAAATCTGATGTACAAAAACCTACAGAAAATAATAAAAAAAATATCACTGACAGTGAAGACAGTTTTACCAGTTGAGCAAAACTGTAAGTGCACTTACAGAGTGATGTAAATATTACAGAGGATCGTTTTCTTCCAACTTTACCGAAGAACCTTCAGAATTGACTAATGATCCTGCAAGCTGGTCAGAAGTAATAAATCATCGTGGGAGAGATTATTTGGTAAACAAAAAGGTACCACCAAAACCTATTAGGGAAAGTTTTCCTAAAAATGGGAGTGGAATATACTTTTCAAAATTTCACTGAAGAGAAAACTCCCAAATGGTGGAGTCACAGACTGACCATGGCTGTTATACGCAGTCTCAAGTGACAAAGTTTTTTGTTACTATTGTAAACTTTCAGCTGATATTAATAAAGTACATAGTCTTAAAATCAGTCACTTATGTGTCATGCGTGATACACGCTTAGGCGATCATGTATCTTTCGATACAAGGCAGATTTTTTCCTGTAGTAGGTTGCTATTTCTTTCTGCAGTAGACCAGGTGCCATCCAAGGTCTGTATTGCTAATTACCCATACCTTTGAGAAAAGGATTCATACCTTTCTTAAGGGTATTAGCACGTAATGGTTTAGACTGGAATTCGAACTCTGCTCTTCGACCAGTTGCCATTCAAGGCTATAGAACCCGGTCTGTCCTGTTATTTACTGATGGCTGGCGGGGAAGAAGAAGAAGATTCATACCTTTCCCAAGTGTGTAAGCACGTAAGTGAATGTAATGGATTCGACTGGAATTCGAACTCGGCTCTCTGATTTCTCAATCCGAGCCGCTGTCCATTACTCCACCATGTTTTAAAATACACTTCCTTAAACCTTGGATTATCATAATAAACGAAAAAATGTAGGGTCCCACCCTATTGTATCCAACTGGGTCCCGTATCACATATAAATAGGCAATCTCTAAAGAAGTGATGTATTTTTTTATTTATTAATCCGGCATATGCTATTATTACTTAAATGTTATTTTTTAGTGGATATCCTTATTTGGGTAGATGCTCCGTTTATTTACTAAACAGTATATTTATTTATTTTCATCTACCAAATGGTTTTAAGCTGGTCAGATCTAACGACGGTTTCCCCTGCCCATGCGGACACTTCCAAAAGCTAAGTACGTATTGAAAAACAGGAAAAATTCATTAGAAACAAAGAAAAGTGTGCTGAACTGCTATGTAATACCAGTTCTCCTATATGGCAGTGAATTCTGGGTAATTTCCTCAAAGATGAAGGTAGAATTTGAGACAACAGAAATGTGGCTCTATAGAAGGATCCTGAAAATACCATGGATAGAACACCTGAGCAATAAGGAAATCTTAAAGAAAATGGGAAGAAAAAGAACGCTTACACTTACGATCAGAAAGAGAATAGAAATATATTGGATACATAATGAGGAAATAGGCTTAGAGAATCTGACACTCACAGGACATATTGAAAGCAAGAGGTGAAACAGGGAGTAACCTATCTAATGATGAAAATAAAAATATTAAAAATGATTTTAATGAATTATAGTATTAAATGAATTCTAATGCCACTATTATAATACTTATTGTACGCCTACCCTGCAGTAATAAGATTTGGTTGATCTGTTGTGTCAGATGAGAGTCCTAATATGTAAATGAAGCAGTAAGGAATTCTAATTCTCTTTGGTTCATTAACTTTAAGAGAAATGTCATTATACAGAAGATTGCTAAAAATATGATGGACTGAACATGTGAGCAACAAAGAAGATTTATGGAAAATGGGAATAAAGGAGACACTTGTGTTTAGGATCAAAAATAGTTTAAATTTCTGTGATAATGATGAGAAAGTTTTTGAAAATTTGATACTCGAAGGATATACTATACTGAAAGAAAGTCAGAGAGAGAGAGAGAGAGAGAGAGAGAGAGAGAGAGAGAATCTAACTAATGGGTATATGCAAATAAATGACAGAATATGGGCTGGGATGGATAGTAAGGGAACAAGCATTGCTGAGAAACACAAAGGATAGGAAATTGTGGAGAACCCATGATCACCAACGTCCTGAATGTGACACAGCACTTAAGAGAAGAAAGGAAAAAAAAATTTAAAGCTCACCTTTTTGAAACATGTGATAATTTTGGATACTCCGTACTCTCTTCATGCAAGATCTCGAATCCGAACATTCTGGAGTATCGGAATGATGTACAACGATGTATTTCAATGGTCCTGGAAATGGTACAGATTTTTTGGGCGCTATGGCCTTCCAAGTGTCACGATGTATCATTTCAGGGCAATATCCCCTTATGATAGTCTCTAAAATACAAAATAAATAAATGAATTAGATATATATAACATAAAATGCTTTATAAACTGTATTTATTTTCATATATTTATGTATGATGGTTAGGAGGTCATCCATTATGGATAACTTGCTTATTTTCTGACAAAGTTTGTTTCCACCCTATATCAAAATAAGCATTTTATGTTAAATATACACCCATATTAAAATACCCATATATTATTATGGGTATATATTTGCCTTGTATTATGATTAAAAGAAAATTCACAGTGTTGATAAATATAAAATAAATGTTTATATAATATATTACAGGAGGAAAGACGAAAGTTCAAGAGTTTCACATACTAGCACATGAGAGAAAGATATATATATATATATATATATATATATATATATACAAACACTCATACATACATATATATAGTACATAAAAGGTTAATGATCAGAGTTGAATCAGACCAGGAAACAGTAGTATTAAAAAGTGGTCAATTCACGTAAAAAATAAAATAACTAACCTCCTAATTTTAATATATATATATATATATATATATATATATATATATATATATAAGCAAATGTAAATGGATATAGATCCGACAGAATGAAGAAAAATTTGGAAAAAACAAGCAAAAATCCTTAAATGCGATTATGTTGTTTAAAATGAATGAAATGTCGACGTCTGACGTTTCGGTTTAATAAACGGACAATATTCATTTAAATACAATTCAGTTCAATTTGACAAAGACGATGGACGCAAAAAAACAAGTCTTATCCAAAACAGATAACTGAAAATTTTAAAATGACCAGCTTTCCGTTTAGCATGGTCACGTTGTCGTCACATGGGCGCTGTTTTGGATAAGACTTGTTTTTTATGTCCATCGTCTTTGTCAAATTGAACTGAATTGTATTTTAATGAATATTGTCCTGAAGAAGGTTTATTAAACTGAAACGTCAGACGTCGACATTTCATCCATTTTAAACAACATAATTGCATTTAAGATTTTTGTTTGTTTTTTCCAAATTTTTTTATATATATATATATATATATATATATATATATATATAATTTGGGTATGTAATCCAGACAGAGTTATAAGTTATTGACATTTGTAAAAACTTTCATGAAAGTATGTTTCGAAAATCATATCCGATAATCCATTTCGCCTCTATGGCTTCATCAGATGAATAACGAAAAATGTGTTGTGTTTGTGATCATTTGTGTGTGTTTAAAATAATTAAATCTTATAATATTTTTCCTTGATCGAGACTAAAAAGATTAAGAAAAAATCGTTAAACATTTTATATTCTTCGCCTTAAGTGTCCGAGTTTTGAGATGGAAATTCTTCAGAATGGGAAGAAAATAGATTAAAGAAACATGTGAACGTTTTTTCCAAATGTCAATAACTCCGTCAGAATTACATACCCACATTTATTACACACTGTCGACATGGAGAACGCGAGGATAAAAGCAACTCTTTAATCTCTTTTGGTTTTCATTTGTACAAGGTGCCCAGTAAAAAAGGCGGTAAATTCCTAAAGACATGAGACAACCGTTGAAAACTGTTGATGACTGATGTGGCTGAAAATTTCAGGAAGAATTTCTCCAAATTTCGTTTGTCCTCATATCGGATGTTCTTTTTTGAAAAGTACAATAACTTATTCAAAATGGCAGGACAAAAGACGAAAGATGTCTACAAATAAACTTTAAATGACGAGTCACAAAATCGAGTAGCAGTTAATTAATCATAAAAGAACCAATCATAGGCAAGAGTCGAATGATTATTCAAGGTCATAAATATTCAAGAAATTAGTATTCAAAGTTATTCAAGGTCAATTATTCCTGAAAGATAAAACTGTGATAATAAATTTTTCGCTTTCTTAATGGACATCCTGTAGATTGAACAGGGGATTGAACCAAATGATCATCATTTTTCTCTTTATTGACTAAAACCAGTTTGGCACCTCAGTATTTTAATATTTTAATATGTTTTTAATAGTATCACCCCATGCAAGGAAAAAAGCCAATAAAACACAAAAAGGTTACTGAGCGTAGAAGAACAAGAACCAGACAGAGAGTAAGAAATAAGAAAAATAAAATCAGTAAAGATGGTGGATAGCGATTGACATTGCATTTAAATATTTGAATATCAAAGTTGGAGAGAAAGCATGGAAGAGAGTGCCACAAACAATGAAATGCAAGAAAAGAAACTGTTAGAACTTCCGGTTACATCCAGCCAGTTCAACTGAGAACTGATGAGACCTTACTGCCAATCTAGTACTGCGCTTAAATCCACAAAGTCTAGGTACCATAGAGAAGAGTTCATCTGAACAATTAACATGAATGTATTTATAGAAAAGGCACAGGGGAGCTATATGGAGAAGTGAGTGAAGCCAAGTCGCCAAGTCAGGACCAATGATATGATTCTTCTTTGGTATTTTATCAAGAATCTCTAATATATATCAGGAACACCAGAATAGATGTAGCAGCAATAGTCAAAGCAAGGGCAAATGGTAGATTTATAAATATGCAAGATGAATTATAGAGAGAAAAATTATCTAGCACGACACAATCACCCTAGCAGTGGTTTCAATGTAGGCTTTACACTTAATATCAGCTTAAAATGTTAGACCGTTATGGCACCTTGCATTTATTGGAAATATTCATAGAAATATGAGTTAATTTTTTCTTATTCAGTTTATTGAACAGGTTGTTAATTTTTTTTTTCTTAAAACGGAAAATAACTGGGTTGAAAATAATTCACTAAGAATGTACTAAACGATCCTAAAAGCAAGGAAAAAGAAAAGAAAAAAAAAGAAGAAAGGAAAGATAATAACAAAAGGGGAAAAGAAAGGAAAAGACATGATATCAAAACAGGCCGCTGGGTGTGGACCAGATGTCAGTCAGAGCCTCTGACTGACCTTAATTTTGTTGAAAGAATAGAATTGGAGATATCGGTCGCGAGCGCTGACCGACATTTTCGTAGAAGAATTCTTATCAAAATAACGAAAGGTAACTTTAAATTAGAATAATAGAAATGAATTTTACTTTAGTCAGAGAGAAAGTGTCTTTGGGTTGGGGAAGTGACTGGTGAAAACGATATACGGAATTGACCTGTTAAGAATTGGACACCCACGTTAAGAAAGTAGAGATATTTCGACCTAGATAATTAAGATTCTCGGCTATCAGGAAAAACAAAAAGAGGTAAAAAGAAGAGCAATTGTTTTTGGACCACGGAGGGCGCCAGGAAGGCGGAAAAGATCCTTTCTAAAAGTCAAGACTAATTAGCAGCGGGCTGTTTGACAAAGTCCAGGTGAGAGAGGGCAAGGATTGTCATTTTGCGTACGTGCAAAAGGTGCGAAATCGGATTTTGTTTTTTTTAAACCAGCACGATGTAACCACACCCGCCAACAAAAGGGAGAGGGTGTTCGGTCAATAACAATTGGTCGAATACAATCACGTGACCGCGGAAGAAGAAGGAAAGAAAACCTCGATCAATAACTGTTGGACGAGGCGGTCACGTGGGCTGCGGAAAAGAAGAGAAAGAAAGGTTCGATCGGGGAACGATTGGTTGAGAGCGATCACCTGACATGAGAGAGACTAAGAGAAATAGATATGCGCCGCCCCCCAAGAGCACTGTGAGAAAAGAAGGGGGAAAACAATAACGATAATGGAAAGTCAAAATTAATACGGCTTTTGAAATTATCGAGAAACCCCTGACGCCTACCGACCCACCCCGGCTTGTTGCGGCGTCAATATAAGCAGGACCCCAGTCGGCAGAAATCAGTTGGAGCTGAAGTTGAGTTGAAGTTGGAGTTAGGTTGGGCGTGAGTTGCAGTTCACCCTCGGACGACAGAAGAATCCTCGAAACAAGAAATCCTTCCAGCCCAAGTTGAAGCAAGAAATCTTCCACTGAATCGAAGCAAGAAATCTTCCACTGAATCGAAGCAAGAAATCTTCCACTGAATCGAAGCAAGAAATCTTCCACTGGGTTGAAACAAGAAATCTACCAGTCTAAACAGAAGAAGAAGAAGAAATACAACTCAAGTCGGAGAGAAGAATCAACTGCGAATGATCGATAGAAATTAGCCCCAGTGTCGAACTGAACCACACTCCGACATACATACATGATTCTAGAAAGTAGGTAATTCGACATTTTCCTATTGTGTGATAGAAGCTTGGTGCCATAGTCCACAGAGCGGGTCGGGAATTGAGAACAATTTTGTTTTTATGTAACGGACTTTAAGATATAAAAGGTTGTTACCCTTTTTATCAGCAATTTTGTTTGGTGTCGTGAGTTTTTATTTTATTTGTGTTTTGCCACCCCCGTCGGACTCAACTTGTATCGGCCCCGATCCCTGCTGGTCCCGTCTGTCTAAGATCTAAACACAGCGTGGGTAGACAGACCGGAGATCGGTATAGTTGCTTTAGTGACCAGGTATTGGAAGCGAGTCGGGAAAGGCGAGGCTGGTGATCATCTGACCAAAGGGTTGGAGCGGCACGCTTGGACCCAGGAGGAACGACCAGGAGGAGCGACGTCACCGTTGGCGCCGTAACCAAAGGATCCGACACTGGGCCAGGTGTGTAACCGTCACAAGTGGTGCCGTGACCAAGGATTTTTCGGCCCTGAGAAGACCACGATCGACCGCCGTTGCTGAAGGTTCAAGCAGAAATCAGAACGACCCGGGACCAAAGGAAAAGAAGGAACAGAGTCGTCTGTAAGGTAGGACACCTTGTTTATTTCCCTACCTCGATTGTTGCTCTCTGTAGACATGTCAGATTATGAGTCGGATAGAGCAGTGGGGGTGAAGAAGAAGTAGGGCGGGGGTTGTCAGTAGATTTAAAGGGGGCTGTTGGGTGGACCGAGGGTCCCAGTGTTTGATGGTAGGGGAAGGAGTTCAGGAACTGGCTGACAATCCTCGAAAAGAGCCGAACCATCTACGAGCTCTCGGACCAGGAAACCCTGTACCTGGCATACGATGCCACAAAGGGAAAGCGTCGGAGTTCGTAAGGGGA